CAGTGGCTGGCAGGGGATGCACAGGTAGGCAAACACCTGCTTCTCTACCTTCAAGTTATCCACTACTCTGATATGATAAAGAAATAATTCTGTTCTGCTGGAAAGTTCATCCCATAATAACATGCAATTTGAATCAGCTTAAGTAGTTTGGAAATCACTCTCATAGACATTTTTTTCAAAGGAAAAAGTGGAAAGATTCTAAGTGCAAAAATGAAGCTTGTCGTATAAGAATAAAAAGGTGTTAAATTCTGGCTGTACACTACTGCACTAATTAACTATGCAGGAATTCTACCTGGTTGTAATGAGGTGTGACATTAACTACAGAAAATTGCTCCATGTTCAAAAGCAAGAGATTTATTTTCCAAGTGACAATCTGTGGGCAGGATCATGAAGCTCCAGCTTCCCCAAACCTCTGTGTGTGTTTYGTTTTTCTCATCACAAAGTGTAGAGCATTTCAAAAGTATGGAAAGCACAAAATGGGCAACCTGCCACCTGAGGAGTATTTTGTGATCTTTACCAAACACTGAAACTGATACCTGTCAGAGAAGTGATAAAGCTGCTGAAATTAATCAAAGCAGAAACTAACACCCCAGGACATTATAAACAAGGTCTTTCAGGTCACATATTGAAAAATGTTGTTTTTCTGAGACAGTGGACTTTACCTGAGCAGAAGCAGTGAGTGATGTGGAGACTGCAAGCCTCAGCCATGTACCTTCTGTAAGACATCATTTCCACACCTGATGGCCACAGAGGACTTTAAATGATGAAAGGAAAAGGCTAAATGGAAGCCTATCTCTAATTCAGTTCCTCTGCTAATCAAGTATAGAAAGGGCAAATTGAAGGTAGCACATCTCTATCAGAATATCTTAAAGCTTACAGAAAGCAGAGCCAAAACTGAAGCATAACTCCCCAACTGTAGCCCGTATGACCCAGAGCACATAGCATGTTCAAGAACATTTAGAGAAACTGAAAYGTTCCTTAAGCCTGGTATAACTTTTAAAACAGAAGAATTTCCAGAGAACCAAGAATGAACTCACTAAGGGAGCTGACATGGACGAAAAGAACATAATGATCAGAAGAGCAACTAGCAAGGGCATTTTCTAGACAGCACCAGGGCTAGAAAAAAAGGATGAAACCTTAAACCCTTCGTTRATTCAAGTAAAATTCAAAACCACAGATACATTTCTGCAACTAACCACACAGGCATCACTCAGTAAAATGTGCATCAGGGCATCTACTGCCTGAAGCAAGGTATCCAGGTCCTGGGAATGGGAATGAAGCATCTTGATCGTATCTCTGCCTAGGATGGCTGAACTCAAGTCTGCCAGGCAGGACCAGGTGTGACCTGATCAGTAGAGGGCTAACACCACTTTTACTGTGAACTGCTCTTTTCTCTCCATTGGCATAAACACTGTCACTATTCCAAGTGCTCTTCCTTGTGAGRAAGAGTCAAAAATTACTAACAATGCCTCCAAGCAGAAGAAAGAACTGAGTTCACCAAACAGAGCTATAAAAATCAGAGAGAATTACAGGGAGTCAAGAAATGAGAATTGTATTTCAAGAAATTCCTTYGCACCTCCTGTATCCAATGTGTGTGAGTCAGCATAGATGAAGATTACCAAAAGCATATGTTTAGCTGGGCTCCAACCAGCAGCATACCAGTAGAGGAAGCATTAATGTCTTTTATGGAAAAAAATACTGGGATCATAGGAGATTGTATGGACGCAGTAGAGTACCAGCACTCTGGAAAAGAACAAGATGCCAAAAACGGTTTCAAAAACATCTGCTTCAAAATTCTGGAAGCAAAGCAACTGAAATCCTTCTGTTTTAACAGAAGAATGTTAAAAATGTTAACAGAAATTAGTAACAGTTTCTAAGAGGAGCAGCAGAGATGAGGAGTGAGTTAATACSACAACATACTTAAGATTTTTTTTAAGAAGTAATTGAAATTAATAGGTGTGGTGCCAAAAAAATAATCAGGCATCACAAATAAATAAGTAAACACAGGGCAAATAGCTTCATCCATCCTTAATGACTGTAAAAGTTTTATGATAAGAACTCCTTGTCATGATCTCAAATGGAACACACTAGAGACATCTTTGGCAGCAGCTATAGAATGCCAAGTGATGATGAAAAAGCATATTTGTTTTTGCTACAGATGGTTACAGTTTAAAATGTAACCTTTTCTAAAAAGGACAGTCCCCTGGAGGCGTGACATCTTACCCGCTAAATTCACATGGGTTAAACACAGCTCATCTATGGAAAATGAATCTCTGTCATTTCTCGTTAGAAAGTCTGACAGGCTTCAGTCAAACTTCTGTAGGGAGGACAGAAGATGTCCAGAAGATAGAGAAAAACAAAGGAAAGAAAGAAAAGAAAAAAAGAAGAGGCAATCAACCTTTTAAATTGTTTCACACCAAATGAGATTTGAAGTGTTACATYCATTCCACTTAGATCTGTAGTCTTCAACTCAAAGGTCACATTATTATGGATTTTTCTTGCCAAAGCATAACAGAAATAGTTTTTCAATMATGTTGAAGGTCTTTTGGGGGAAATCTGTTCTGGGCATTATTCATGAAAGATATGACATTTTATTTATCTAGTTTCTCKCAAAATACTTGAGAATAAAACTATTATGATGTGTTGCCAAACCCTTCCCTGTTGTTTTTCACTCTTCCCTCTCTCTCTCTCTCTCAGAGTTTCTGACATTTTCACCACTTGATTTTAAAAAGAGAATTATAAAATGTAAACAAAATCTGTCAAATCTGATCTGTTTCTCTAAAACTGAAATCTAAAAATCAAAAAGGCAATTCATGAGGTTTCTTAAACTTCATGGGAAAGAATTCCCCTTCACAAATAAGCAATCCTCTGCCAAATTTGCTGCATAAACATTATAGCAGCTGTAATGACATACCAGGATAAGGAGAGGAAAATGCTTAGAAATCCTGCAAGACACCCAAACTAATCTCTGAAAGGATTTCATAATTCATWTTTTTTCTCGAGTTCTATTTTCTGATTCTATTTTATTAATAGCACTACAAATATTTATGGAAAACATATTTAATAGGAGCCATGACCTTTTTTTTTTGTTTGTTTCCAAGTAAACAATGCCTTCCTAATGAAGAAAATATTTATCTGGTGCCTCTAACTCCMCCATTTGGCACATGCAGAGGTACCAGGACTGTGCACTTACAGAGCTGGGGCTGGAGTGTCGCCTGACTTTAGGTGATTCCTTCCCTGCAGATGAAGTTTTGAAGTTAATGCARGCGTTGTTCTCGGAATGAACCCTCTTCACTTGATTAGTTGGCTTCTCAAATGGATCGAAACTGCTCTGTGTCCTCTGAACCCGAACTTTTTTATCCTCAGGAATTGTATCCAGAGGTTTGATCACTGAATCCATTCCCTGGCAGTTCCGTGTAGACATCTTTGTGACACATATCTGAAAAGAAAGAAAAACATCATTTGTTGACTCTRAAAGGCATAAAATCAATATAACTCCATGCACCAGCCAGCATCAAAAAAGGCACTGAACTTCATAAGCATTCACTTCATATTTCTGTGTTAAAAATGAAAATAACACATGCATATTATGTAGGGGATACATACATCACAGCCATCTTTGGACAATGCACTAAAAGATCCTGAAAATGAAGGCCAAAGAGGAACATCCATAAACTCATRCATTTGTGTTTTCTTGTACAATGTGTTCTTGGCAACAATGCCACTTCACTTCTCTCTCCAATCTAGCCACAGATATCCACAAGCAGTATTGATTTTCATTTGCTCAAAATTGGATGAGACTAAACTAAAATAAATGATGGTAGCTTGTGTGCACTGGCTGGTGCTGGCTTTCCAAAGATTCAATACCGGTATATTATTGTATTTTTAAATAATGCTTATACAGTGTTATTATTATTATCACCATATGTCTCAGAAAATCAAATCAGTAAATCAATTCCCAGGCACTGAAACGTGAGACTGCAGCTTAATGGCACACTAAAGCACAGAAGTTCAATTCTTTGTTACTGTGAAGTACGGCTCTGCCAAGCTCTAAAGGCTGCCACTTGCTGCTTGAGCTATCAAAATACACCATGGTTAGTTCAGGAGAGCAAAATGAGCAGAACAGCAGCTTTAGATACCCCAGTCATGTGTGCTTCTGGCTTTAATTTCAATACTCTGCAGTACATATGACATTTTTTAAAATCGCACAGTTGGTGAGGGGTTGTATTTGAGGCCTCAGCTTCCATTTTCACCCATAACAGACTTGACTTGGAAAGAAAAGAAATACTTTCAGCTTTCAGGCTACAGGGAAAAGTTAAGAATTGTGATGCAAGCAGACCCAAAAGGCTCTTTAAATTGTAAGGCAAATCAAAGTCATATACAATGTACTTTTTCCATGATATTTGCATGTATTTAAGCATAGACAGTGTTAATTTGCTGTCAAATGAACTCTTCACATAAAACCAGTTTAACAAGCATAATATTCCATTCAAGCACCTATGATTTAATCTAATTTTTAGAAAACTTGTCATCCTAAAACAGCTAATATTAAAAAATATAAAAATCATTAAACCAGGAATCCAAAGTATCTCCAAAAACTTATCCAATAAGTTATTCTTTGCCATTTTCCCAAAGGAATTTTGTATCTTGAAATCCAATTTACTTCAGTTTACAGAAATACTGTATCTTTGTGAAGTTTGGCTTTTTTTCTTTTTTTTTTTTTTTTTTTTTTTTAATGATCCACTCTAACAGTTGATGAAAGATTTCTTTTCTACATTAAAAATTTAAAGTATGTTTCCTGCATTGTGCCATCTGGCCAAATGACCATCAGCTCTAATGAAGGGCATCACTACTGTCACAAACCAGGCTTTACAAGGGTTTGCATTTCTTCTCACTAAAGTGATTTCYTCAAGACCAGACCTTCACCAAGTTACAACTTCCTTGACAACAGGAAAAGTCCCCCTTCACTCCAAATTATAATTATTTTTTTGGGCTGAAATTAAGACAGTTTCATAATTTTGGTCTGTTACTTCAGAGCAAAAAGATAAAGAGCTGCTGCACAAAGAATTTKTAATTAGTCTTCTTGTAAAACTAATTGGTTTCTTTTCCCTAAAACAACTCATACAGACAGACACATACCTACATCCTTCCCACTGCCATCTCCATGTTCTTGCAATGCTTGCTACCAACAAAGATGCCTTAAATTAATGTAAGTTGAAATTCCTGTTAATTTAGCAGCATCTCCATGCTGCTTAATCAACACAGATGCAAATAAATCAGTAAGTATTTCTCAGCATTTGAAAGCCAATGACCTAGAAAATAGGGGCAGGAGATGTGGACAAAAGTTTCCAAAGCAGTACTTGTCTTCTTTTTGGGTTAACAAGTCGCCTGTAGCAGTTTAAAATATTTTGAATTAGAAGCTATAAAAATACCATAGATAATARTGCCACGAATGCTGCTTCCAGTTTCTTTTTCCACTGGAAAATCTCCATGTCTACATCTAATGTGGGCCATGTAAGCATTTGTTACTATTATCTTGACTGGAAGCAATAACATTTTGGAATTRGACATTGAAGGGAGACACTTTAGCCCTCAGGCCACTTGACTGAATCTGGAGTAGGATAAAAATCTCCACCAGCATCTTGTAACAGCCAGCTTCCAACTTGCAAATGACTAAAATCATGAGCACCAAACAGCTCCCCACACAGAAATCAAACACCCTGGTGGATGCACAGGCTGGACACCGCAGCCACCCTTGGAACAGCTGAGGAGTGCAGAGAAATGCAAAGGTAGAGGCTGCTCGCCATGCCCATCTGCCTGCTCTGCACATCTCCTGCCAGGGCTGACGAGGGCTTTCATTCATCACTTCTCTCTCACCGATATCAATATTTCCCTGGCAGAAATMAAACATTCTCTCCAAATGGCTGCTGACCAGAGCGCGTTGTTGGAGCCAACAAAGTTAACCTTMTGCTGCTGTTGAAGGGTACGCATTTCCAAGCTGTCTACCCTGCCTATAAAACACTGAAGAGAAACAATATTTAAGCATTTGTTTTACATTCTGCCATTGTTAGGCTGAGTCCTTCATGCTGAAATTCTGTTCTGTGCAATCTGAAAGGACCAGGTCTAAAAGGTCAGCACTGAGCATGGGCTGTAACCAACTTAAGGGCACAATAAACTCATTGGTGATTTCAGGTTCTCCTCCACCAGCAAGGCTAAGCCACCACAGCAGAGCAGGTTTTCCCCTGGTCAGCCAGAGTGCTGACAGGCTACTCCTGTGTCCAGCTAAGGCTACAACTTATTTTGTAGTGAGTTACCATGCAAAAAAAGCCAATGCGCTGAGCAAAACCATATTTTGGAGATTTCCCTATGCATACAAATGATCACAGGTTTCACCAGCTTGACCACATCACCTTGAGGAACATTATGGGTTTGAATTTTTTTACASTAATTTAGCCTTTAAAATATAATTTTCMCTTTTACTGCATAATTAGTRCTTAAAAATTTCTACCTCTCAAAGGCTATGTACAAATACTTAGCATCAGAAGGTGTTAGTCTTGTAAACCAATGCCTACCACCCAGTAGCTCCTTGCTGGCAGTCAGGAGAAGCCTAACACACCTCCTCATTTCCAGATTTCTTCTTGCAWAAGAGAGTTAAGGATCATTTTCCAGTTAAAGCACAGTATTTGTTGATACCACAACATATGGTTCATTTTCAGAATCTTTTAGATGCTCCTGTGTGATCCCCTGGGATAGCCACTTTCCTTCTAAGCACATTCTGCCACCTGTAAGACCAAATTTTCTTTTTACCAAATTTCATTTGTTCTAACTACATAAGTCATCAGTTCTTCACAGTGGGCACTATTCTTTTACTAATCCTTTTACACACAGAACAATCCTCGTGCACTTCAATGAAGACAAAAATCCAGAAATATGTGGAAACTACCTCTCTTTTTCCAAAGAAGCCTCAAAACTGCATGATTTTGTTGAATCTCTGATTCACCTACAGTTACCAGAATAAAAAAACAAWGCTAAACAAGCCATTACATATAGGAAGTCCATCCCCATGATTTATTAACCCTCCCCATCTATGTAATGCTGTGCTTAAAACAGTGAAGCCAACTCACTGAGATGCTGTAAATGCCACCACAGTCAGAAACTGGTGCTACACGTGGATGTGATATTTAATGGCACCTTAACTATTAAAAGTACCTCCCTCAAAGTTACATAGAGACAATACAAGTGGTGTCCTGTTTTGTCATATGAGATGACAATTAGGCTTTATAAAATGCAATTAAGAGGAAGAAACTTTCAGTATGAATATGCTGTGCATTTAAAGAAACCTCTGTTTAACAAACWGTGTGAGTCATCATGCAGTTTTAATTGTCATTTCTTGAAAACAASTCATCATTTAAGTAAACATTGAGGTATGTCAACACTTGAAGTMATTCTATCCCCTTCAGGAGCTACTGCCATGATTTTGTGCTTCTCCCACCACAAACTACATTCAAGGCTTAATTTTCTGAAGTAYAAACTATTTCCAAAACTATCTGGCTTTTAAAAGTAGGGCAATGAAACCACAGTTATCTTTCAGATGGGATATTTTGGCCAGCAGACCTCATAATTATGGRGAACAGAGGTATGGGATCTTCATTYAATGCCTTCACTCTACMGGAAACAGGATTTAAAAATAAGCCAATGAACTTAATACACTTAGCAGATATAAATTATTACAATATTAAATTATTAYAAGAACCATGATGAAAAACAGATGTTGGCAAAAATGGCAAGAGAGGGSCTGAGATAAGGAGCACATTATTWAAAAAAATTCTAAAAGGAAAGAAAGGTAAACAAAACAATAAAAATTATATGTATGGTATTCACACCAGAGAGTTTCACATGCAGAACTTTCACCCCCAAAKTCTCTGCTTTTGTTCCAAGATGAAAATCCTGAAAAGGCTAAATTAAGACTCCAGTACCAGTCTCCCTTTAACGAGTTTTGCTCTTCCACACAGAAAACAGAGTGGTCTTACAGAAACTCATTTTTTGTGTTTGAGGTTACTCTTTGTAAAAGCACTTCCAAACCAGCCCTCAGAAACTATCCAGGGATTTGGTATCTTGTGGGAAAAGACTATATCTGGAAAATACCAATGACTATTCCTACYCAGTGAGACAACAATATTAACAGCTGACAGTCCCTGATCCCAGAGCTGATTTCCAGATCTTGGAAGAAGATTCCTGTCTGCCCAGGTGTGGTCCAACAGAAGCAGCTCTCCATGAGCATCCTGACCATTACTTTTCTCACATATGGATCATTAATGTCAAACACAGATCTGTACTTGGGGATCTGTACAGATGATCTGTACTTGTTCCACATTCTGCTGCCAAGCAATAGATATTCTCCACACTCTGATGGCTGAAATAAACCCACTTTTAAAATTT